AATCCCAGCTACTTGGGAGGCTGAGGCAGCAGAATCGCTTGAACCCTGGAGGCGGAGGTTGCAGTGAGCCAAGATCGTGCCATTGTAGTCCAGCCTGGGCAACAGAGCGAAATTCCATCTTAAAAACAAACAAACAAACAAACAAACAACAAAAAAATCAAGTTCTTTTTCTTCTTTGGATCCTTCCTATTTCATTATACCATCAGAAGGCAGAATTAAAAATTCTTAAATGCTTATGAATGAATTTATCTAAATCACCAAACAGAAGACACTGAGCAGTATAAAATTACAAAATATTACTACCTTGTCTAAGGCACATATATTACATGTATTACTGGTGAAGACATGACCCTATTTCCTTACTCATATATTTACTTGTTCTCGGGAATTTCTCTCAGTTCTTCTTAAGACACAGCTTCTAGTACTCATAATTCCTTAATGTTCATTTCATTTTCCTCTGAAAATGTTTATTGACTTTTAACTTTTTAGTTTATAGCCACCATTAAAATCAATTTCTATGCATTATTTTTTTCAAGATGCTCAATAACATATTGGATTTGACTTTTTGTTTGGATTCTCTCACTTTTCTAGTATATGATTTTTTTTTCTGGGCAATATTTGCTTTTTTCTGTTCAGCTGTAATGAGTATGTGTGAAAACAGGTTAGTTTCACCAATCTGGAAGGGACAGAATGCAATAGATGCCCATATTGACAATACTCTAGAAAGTCAGAAAGATTGGCTTTTTCAAGTATAATGAAATTTACTAGTAATCACTTAGCCAAATTTCAAAATTTTCTAAATGTTGTATGGAACCACCTTTCCAATTGAGAACTCTTGCCTTTGTGGGATGGATGTGGTATTTGGTTACCAGGACTTCTGTAAGAAGGTTAGCCTTTCCATCAAGAATCTCTCCCCTTACTTTCACCAGCCAATCTCCCCTTCACCCCAGCTCCCATGACTTCCTAGTCAGTCCTCTGCCATCCCACTGATTTCAAATTTCACAGATACAAAAGGTAGGACTTCTTCATAAACAGTTGGTAATCTTTGTCCAAATAAATAACAAAATATCCCTAAAAATCCATTATTTAATTTGTTGATACCCCCAAGATGCATACAAAATTGTAAAATAACAAGGCTGTCAGTCATGAGATAGTGACTCTCTTTTTAGAATTCTAGCTATCTAAGAAGAAATAGGGTCACAAGGTCACAGGTACCAAACAGGAAAATCCTTTGTAAGTGGTACTCCCTATCGTCTCAGAGCACACACTACACAAGGTTCCTATAGACAAAATAATCAGGCACAATCTTTTGTCTATGGAATTTCTATGAAAATCAGTATTAATACCCTACTGTTATTGAAAACCAAAAAAAAAATTAAGACATAAAGAAGTGACATAATTTTCTGTAATGAATTAGGAATGGCTAGGACTGCTGACACTGTACCTTGTAATTGAGATCAAAACAAAATATTAGTCATAAAAGTGGAAGAGAGGGCATCACATAGTTACCTAATTATTATAACCAAATTTTCCCCTTGTTATGAGAAACAATTTTCAAATGACAGCATTAATTTTTATTAGGTTTCTCATGTACTCGTGTACCATTCAGTTGATTTCAAATGGCATCCTTTAAGCAGGAGCAAATGAAAATCAGATTTTTGAAAGTAAAGTACAGCACTTATTTAAGCCTACAAACACATATCTTCCTTGAAGGTATGTAATCATCACAGAATTTTACTAACAGTGAATACAAAATAAATTGCAGACATGGCCAAACTGCCTGCTTGTATTCAGT